AGGCCCGAAACGTCAGCCTTCCTGCTCCTATGATGCTGCTTGGTTTACTGACAGAGTTAATTCTGTTTTTATCTCTACAGATCTGCTGAGTATCTCCAGTACTCTGTGGTTGCTCCAGGTCCTGTACAGACTGATGAATTTTGCTGAGGATGAGCTGTGCAACGACCAGAAAATTGCAATCTTGCTGTAACCGATTAAAAGGGTGTGTTATAAGTTGACAGGGAAACATTCTGATGAATGGACAATCTAAGACAGGAAACATTGCAGCCTTAAGATTATAAGTGTAGTCACATTTTTTTCCCTCAACTGGGATCATGGCAGTCCTAATAACTGAACATCAGAATGGATCATTTTAATCAAACTGTTGTGACACACATCTCGAGGAGGCAGGACTTGAACCCAGGCCTCCTGGTACCAATTGACCAAGAGAATGCTTAAGAATCCTGCAGACTAGAAGCCTCTGACTATTTCATAGAATCCCCTACAGTGTGGAAGCAGGCTATTTAGCCCATCAAGACTGCACTAACCCTCCAAAGAGCATCACATCCAGATCCACCTCTCTACCCTATCCCTATAACTCCACGTTTACCATGGCTAACCCACATAGTCTGCACATTCCTGGACACTATGGGCAATTTTTAGCATGGCCAATCCACCTAACAGGCACATCTTTGGACTGGGGGAGGGAACTCATGCAGAACAGAGGGACAGTGTGCAAACTCCACACAGTTTCCTGAGGGTGGAATGGAACCTGCTTCACCGGTACAGTGAGGCAGCAGGACTAACCAATGAGCCACCAGGCCTCCCACCACTGTGGGGAAGTATTAGTTGTGCAAGAATTAGCATGAAACAAAGTTAATCAAGGGACAATCTCTATTAACTGCACCAATCAGAACTGCTGACCAAAACAATTCCAAAGTGGGCTGATTTCTCCATTAATGGGAAGTAATTGGAGGCTAAAAGGCAAAGTCCTGCTCTCTTATTACAGACAGAGATGACTGGTTGTGGTTTAACCTGAGGGTCACCATGCCTTGGGTAATGGGAGCGATTGAGAAGGAGAGTCTTTCATGGTAAGTTCAGCCAGTACAGGAACTGAACACTGTTGACATCACTCTGCATCTCAAACCAGCTGTCCAGCCAACCGAGCTAACCAACCCCCAATGACTGCATGCCTATTAAAGGCATCAAGGGGTATGGGCAGAAAGTGGGAATGTGGCATCAAGATTGAGAATCAGCCATGATCATATTGAATTTCCATGCTGTATGTCTCTATGGCTGAATGGCATGTTCCTACTCTTAATTTCTATGTTTCTCTTAGAGACAAAAAAAAAACCCTGCAGATGCTGGAATCCAAGGTAGACGACCAGGAGGCTAGAAGAACACAGCAGGCCAGGCAGCATCTGGAGGAAAGGAGAAGTCAACCTTAGGCTATTACCTTTCTTCAAGAGTGGTGGCCCGGAAGTAAACTGAACCTTGGTCTAATCTGTGCCATTTGTGGATTAGTGGACAGTACTCTGAGTCAGAAGTTTGGATGCTGAATTTACACTCATTTGTAGTTCAGCTGGGCCTCCAGTACAGTACTGAGGGAGTGCTGCAGTTTTGGGACGTTTCACACAAGACATTAACCACTGCTTCTCAAGTCAACATAGAAGACTCAATACCCCTCTGGCAAAGACGAGCAAGAGAGCATCACCAGACAAATGGCGATCCCTCAACCAACACTATGAAAGCAGACTATCTGGCAATACAAACACATTATGGTTTGGAACGGGGTAACAAGGTGTAGAGCTGGATGAACACAGCAGGCCAGGCAGCATCAGAGGAGCAGGAAAGCTGACATTTTGGGTTGGGACCGTTCTTCAGAAATTTTACACACAGTGCACTCCCACAAACAGCAATGTGATAATAAGTAGATCATTTAGAGGGTGTTTCAGTGCTGGTTGTGAAAATACACTCGGTCTTTGACTAATGCCAACAGATCGTTTATATCCAGAGAATTAGAAGGTGGACATGGCTGAAGTCTAACGTTTCATTGGAAAGATGGCACCTCAGACAGTGCAGCACTCCTTCAGTGCTACTTCTGACCAATGTGGAGGTACACACTCAATGGACTGTATACTGCATGATCCAACCCAATTAGCTGGGAATAGGCTTCTGCATGCATCATCATTTGGCACTGCAACCTTACAAGGCTCCAGTTGCCAGCTCAATGCCGCCAAAAGCGAAGTGTTTGCAGCTCAGGGGTGAGGCTGCGGGGCGCCACGTCAATGCAGCAATGTCTCCAGCTTCCACGGCGCACGTGCTGCCTCCCATCGGGGCTGCTATTGGTTCCGGGGTCTGTCAATCAGCAGCTTTTTCCGGTGGTTCCTAGCAACCGCCATGGAGACGAAAGACGCCGGAAGAGTCTGAGACACAACAAAGGAGGACCAGCCCGAAGCCAACATGAATGTAAGTGATTCAAGTGAACGGACCCTCTCTCTTCAGGGGGATTTGTACAACATTTACAGAAATGTAGATTGAAGAACATAAAGACAGCATGTGTGGAGATTACCAGGTTTAAGGGGATGTCTTATTTTGAGATTTAAAAATAAACCTATTCTGTTCAATGGCCAAGGCTTTCTGTCACCCTCCTTACCCAAAATGTGATCGAGTCCTCCTTCAGAATCGCACTTAACCTGATGGCAGTTAGTACAGATTTTACAGCATTGCACATGATGATGGTGGGGAGGCAGGTTCAGTAAAAGACTGTGTAATTTTCAAAAAGGAAGAAAGCGCAGGGTCATAGGGAGAGTGGAGCTAGGGGAGATGCTCATTTGGAGAGCTGGTGCAGACACGATGGGCCGAATGCCCTCCTTCTGTGCTGCAATAATTCTGTGATGGTGTGACATTCAATGTAATGTACGAATGGATTGCATTCTCCGCAGCCTTGAGTGCATCCAAAACTAAAAGAACCACAGACGCTGTAAATCAGAAACAAAAACAGAAGTTGCTGGAAAAGCTCAGCAGGTCTAGCAGCATTAGTGGACAGAAATCAGAGTTATCATTTCAGGTCCAGTGACCCTTCCTCAGAACGGAGGGTCATTCAACCCGAAACGTTAACTCAGCTTTCTCTCCACAGATGCTGCCAGACCTGCTGAGCTTTTCCAGCAAACTCTGTTTCTCATGACCTAACCCACAGCAGACCCTGTTCTATTTTTTATCTTTGCTCTTTGACCAATAATGATTCCAAGATGTGTCAATGTCTCAAATTTAAATCCCTCCACTCCCACTCGCTTTCCCTGTCTCTGTGATTTCCTCCAGCCCCACAACTATTTGAGATTTCTATACTCCTCAAATGCAGGTTTTTGACCATCAGAAATAGTTAGAACTGCCGATGCTGAAGTCTGAGATAACAAGGGGTGTGGAGCTGGATGAACACAGCAGGCCAGGCAGCATCAGAGGAGCAGGAAAGCTGACGTTTCGGGTCGGGACCCTTCTTCAGAAATTGGGGAGGGGGAGGGGGCTCTGAAATTAATAGTGGGGGGGTGGTGTTAGCAGGTAGATAGTGGAGCGGATAGGGAGAAGACAGACAGGTCAAGAAGGCGGGGATGAGAGGGGGTGCTGGCCTTGGGATGAGGTCAGGGTGGGGAGATTTTGAAGCTAGTAAAGTCCACATTGAGACCATTGGGTTGTAGGGTTCCAAGGCGGAATATGGCGTGTTGTTCCTCCAGTTTTCGGGTGGCATCGTTGTGACACTGGAGGAGGCCCAGGATGGGTATGTCACCCAGGGAGGAGGAGGATGGAGCTGAAATGGTTCGCGACTGGAGGGTGTTGTCGTTTGTCACGAACTGAGCACAGGTGTTCCACAAAGCGGTCTCCGAGCCTCCACTTGGTCTCCCCGATGTAGAGGAGGCCACATCGGGAACAGCGGATACAATAGACCACATTAGCGGATGTGCAGGTGAACATCTGTTTCATGTGGAAGGATTTTTTGGGGCCTGGGATGGAGGTGAGGGGGGAGGTGTAGGGGCAGGTGTAGCACTTCCTGCAGTTGCAGGGAAAGGTGCTGGGGGTTGTGGGCCTAGTGGGGAGTGTGGAGCGGACATGGGAGTTTGACCATTTTGATTTCAATCACTTTATCACTGGTAGCCATACCTTTAGTATCCAGGCCCTAGACCCTGGAAAGGGTCTGGCAAGTTCTGGAGCACAAATCTTCAGTACTATTGGCAGAATGTTGTGAGGGCTCATAGTCTTTGCAGGATCCAGCGCCTTCAGCTGTTTGTTGATAACATGTGAAGTGAATCAAATTGGCTCCAGACTGGTATGTGTAATGTTGAGAAGCTCAAGAGGAGGCAAGATGGCTTGGCACCTCCAGAGCTGCAAAGTTTTGCAGACGCTTCTTGCCTTCTGTACTGACATAACGCACACACTGCTGGACTCCCTGATCACTGAGAATGGGAGCAGTTAGGGAGGTTCCACCTTCAGTTAGTCATTTAATTGCCCACCACCATTAATGAATGGATGTGGCAGGACTGCAGACCCCATCAGTCTACACTAGGTCATCAGTAAAGTGGTGTCATCAATAGGCAAACTCTCTGCTGGTTGGAGTCACACCTGGCACCTAGGAAGATGGCTGTGAGATTACTTAATGCTGCCTGGCACATGTTGCTTCCACTTCTCGACATGCAGACCTTCCAGTGTTGTATCTTCACCAGGCTGGTTCCTCAATTTTAGGCATGCCTGGTGCCTGGCATATCCTCCAGCACTCTTCACCAATCCAAATTGTAGAGAAATGATCTAACATTGGCATGGAGGGATTTCAAGGGAAGGTGAAAATCTTTAATTGTTCTTATTCATTCACGGGATGAGGGCAGCGCTGGCTAGGTCAAAATTTATTGTCCATCCCTAATTGTCCAGCTAGCAGTTAAGGGTCAACCACATTGCTGTGTGTCTGGAAACACACGTAGGCCAGACCTGGTAGGGATGGCAGTTTCTATCCCTGAAGGACATTGGTGAACCAGATTTTTTTTCGACAATCAACAATAGATTTATGGTCATCATTAGACTCCTAATTTCAGATTTTGAATCGAATTAAAATTCAGCCATCTGCCAGGCTGGGATTTGAACCCAGGTCCCCAGAATAATACCTGGGTCAGCAACCATACCACTTGGCTTTTGCCTCCCTATCTGTGGGACGTGGTGAAGTATTGGAGGTTTATTACATGAGGATTGCTTAGTAGAAAAAAGTGGTCTGGGATTTGTGCTCAACAATGAAACAATAGCACTCAAAGCTGCCCACAAGGATCAAGCAATCTCTGCAGCCTGATTTCCCCTTATGTAATGGCTGAGTATATCTGGCGCCACATCATGGAATCTCTCAGTGAGTGGTGATGTCAGCAAGCATCCAGGCAGCCAATCAAATCAAAGTATTCATTCACAGCGAACCCAGGAAGCTGAACATACTTAATCTCATCACTTTTAATTTACACTTTCTGTGCGTATTGTATTTGTTTATGACTGGATTAAGACGGAAACTAACAAGTAAACTTTACAAAATTTTTTGAAGGAATGTGGGGAATTTTTCTCATCATTTCAGGGGATTCATATTTTATACGTGATAGTAGGAACTGCAGAGTCAGAGATAACACAGTGTGGAGCTGGAGGAACACAGCAGACCAGGCAGTATCAGAGGAGCAGGAAAGCTGACGTTTCGGGTCGGGACCCTTCTTCAGAAATGGGGGAGGGGGAAGGGAGCTCAGAAATAAATAGAGAGAGGAGGAGTGGGCCCGGGGAAGGTAGGTGGGATGGTGATAGGTGAGTGCAGGTAGGCAGTGGTGGGGATTGATCAGTGGGATGGGTGGGGCAGATAGTTGGGAGAGAAGATGGACAGGTTGTGTCAGGTCAAGGAGGCGGGGATAAGAGGGAGGGTTGGTCATGGGATGAGGCCAGGGGTGGGGAGATTTTAAAACTGGTCAAGTCCACATTGAGACCCTTGGGTTGTAGGCTCCCGAGGTGGAATATGAGGTGCTGCTCCTCCAGTTTCTACGTGGCGTCGTTGTGATACTGAAGGAGGCCCAGGATGGATATGTCGCCCAGGGAGGGGGAGGGAGGAGTTGAAATGGTTTGTGACTGGAAGCTTTTGTCGTTTGTTGCGAACAGAGCGCAGATGCTCTCCATAACTGTCTCCAAGTCTTTGCTTGGTCTCACCAATGTAGAGGAGGCCACACTGGGAGCAGCAGATGCTGTAGACCACATTAGCAGATGTGCAGGTGAACCTCTGTCTGATGTGAAAGGTTTGTTTGGTTCCTTGGATGGAGGCGAGGGGGGAGGTGTAGGGGTAGGTGTAGCACCTCCTGCGGTTGCAGGGAAATGTGCCGGGGGTGGTGGGGCTAGTGGGGAGTGTGGAGCGGATGAGGGAGAATAGAAGGCAGATAGAGGTGGGAGGGAAATATATCCTTTGTAGTGGTGTCGGATTGCAGGTGGCGGAAGTGGTGGAGAATGATGCGTTGAATCCGGAGGTTAGTGGGGTGATAGGTGAGGACAAGGGGGATTCTGTCTTTGTTTTTGTTGCAGGGAGGGGGTATGAGAGCAGAGGTGCAGGAAACGCAAAAGATGCGGTCAAGAACATGGGCTTGGGGTTGGGGTGGAAGGTATTAGTAAAGTTGATGAACTGTTCAAGCTCTTCGTGGGAGCCCAAGGTGGTGCTGATACAGTCATCGATGTAACAGAGGAAGAGGTGCGGGATGGTGCCAGTGTAGCAGCGGAAGAGGGACTGTTCCATGTATCCTACGAAGAGGCAGGCATAGCTCGGGCCCATGCAGGTACCCATGACCACCCCCTTTGTCTGTAGGAAGTGGGAGTAGTTAAAGGAGAAGTTGTTAAGGGCAATGATGAATTTTCACCCCAACCTCAAGTTCACCTGGACCATCTCTGATACCTCCCTCTCCTTCCTGAATCTCTCTGTCTCCACCTCTGGTGACCGCCTCGAAACCGACATCTATTTCAAGCCCACCGACTCCCACAGCTACCTAGACTACACCTCCTCTCACCCACCTTCCTGCTCCCAATTCCTCCACCTTCGCAGCGTCTGCTCCCAAGATGGGGCATTCCACTCGCGAACATCCCAGATGTCCTCGTATTTCAAGGACCACAATATTCCCCCCTTCAGTGCTTGAAAATGCTCTTGACCGCATCTCTTGCGTTTCCCACACCTCTGCTCTCACATCCCCTCCCTGCATCAAAAGCAAAGACAGAATCCCCCTTGTCCTCACATATCACCCCACTAACCTCCATATCCAAAGTATCATTCTCCACCAGTTCCACCACCTACAATCCGATCCCACAACCAAAGATATATTTCCCTCCCCACGCCTATCTGCCTTCCGTAGGGACCGCTCTCTCCGCGACTCCCTCATCCGCTCCACACTCCCCACCAGCCCCACCACCCCGGCACCTTTCCCTGCAACTGCAGGAAGTGCTACACCTGCCCCTACACCTCTCCCTTCACCTCCATCCAAGACAGAGGTTCACCTGCACATCTATCAATGTGGTCTACTGCATCCGCTGTTCCCGCTGTAGCCTCCTCTACATTGGTGAGACCAAGTGGAGGTTCAGAGACCGCTTTGTAGAGCACCTGCGCTCTGTTCACGACAAACGACAACACCTCTCAGTCACGAACTGCTTCAACTCCCCCTCCCACTCCCTGGACCACATGTCCATCCTGAGCCCTCCCCAGTGTCACAATGAAGCCACCCGGAACTGGAGGAGCAGCACCTCATATTACACCTTGGGAGCCTAAAACCCAATGGTCTTAATGTGGACTTGACCAGTGTCAAAATCTCCCCACCCCCGGCCTCATCCCATGACCAACCCTCTCTCTCATCCCCACCTCCTTGACCTGACACAACCTGTCCATCCTCTCTCCCACCTATCCACTCCTCCCACCTCACTGACCAATCCCCACCGCTGCCTATCTGCACTCACCTATTACCATCCCACCCACCTTTCCCAGCCTGAACCCTCCTCTCTCTATTTATTTCAGAGCCCCCTTCCCCCCTCCCCCATTTCTGAAGAATGGTCCTGACCCAAAACGTCAACTTTCCTGCTCCTCTGATTCTGTCTGACCCGCTGTGTTCCTCCAGCTCCACACTGTTATCTTCACATTTTATAAGTAGCTTTTCAGGGCCATTGATTGCATTTAACATTAATTATGTCAGCCTACAATTGAAAACCATGTTACACCAAATTTAACAAGATGGAATACATTCAAGAATTTTACAGTGAAACTAATTTCGCAGAAGTCAGACTTTTAACTAAACCATGTTGAGTTTGCAATTGAATGGGAACCTCCAATGTACTCAGTGGATGCATGTCATTTCACAGATTATAAATTTTACCTTTGCGCACATGTGGACTCGCTATCAGTTTTAGTGGATTTGTGACAGTGACAGATCGCTCATTACTGCCAGAATAGTGCAAGTGATGGATGGGCAAGTCAACTGGACTGAATTTAGTCCTAAAGCCTTATCTCCCAGAGGCAAAAAATGGGAGCTGGCCCCTATGCCTATAAACATTAATTTCCATCTGCTATAAATAGAAACGCCTTTCATTGTTATTGTAGACAAGAGAGTTTAAAATTGCAGACAAGAAGCAAATTGTTGGAGAAACTCAGTGTTTGTGGAGAGTAAACAAAGTTAACATTTCAAGTCCAGTTGGATCTGACAGCACGGAGTTAAAACTTCATTAGTTCAAACTGCACACTAATCCAACAGAGAAATGTTTAGAGTTCATTGGTAGTACAGGTCATCTGTTGGGTAGTTCATCCAAACCATTTTACTGGGATTACTGGCATTTTTTAAGTGTACAGTTTTGTCTCTGACTTTTACTGTTTTAATTTCTACAGGTCCCTAGCAGGGAGAATGAAATGGCGGCATCTCGACCCATAACACCTATTGACTTGAAACCAACACCCAAGGTGAAAGACAGAGTTCGGTCTAAAACACGCTTAAGGTCAGCAAAAAGAGTCAAATCTGGAGGTGAGTTTTTTTTTACTATCAAATGGGATGTAGACATCACCGGCAAGCCAATATTTGTTGTCCCTTCCTAATATCCCCTTAACTGAACAACCATTTCAGAGGGAGTTAACCCAGTGCGGAGCTGGAGGAACACAGCAGACCAGGCAGCATCAGAGGAGCAGGAATGTTGGCGTTTCGGGTCGGGACCCTTCTTCAGAAATGGGGGAGGGGGAAGGGAGCTCCGAAATAAATAGAGAGGGTGGTGGGGCTGGGGAAGGTAGATGGGATGGTGATAGGTGGGTGCAGGTAAGCAGTAGTAGGGATTGGTGAGTGAAGACGGAGGGGCGGATAGGTGGGAGAGAAGACGGACAGGTTGTGTCAGGTCAAGGGCAGAGGTTTGTGTGGAGTCCGCCACATTGCTGTAGGTTTGGAGACACAGGTAAGTCAGGCAAGGTAAGAACGGTAGATTTCATTGACTGTCGGCAATTTGTGAACCAGATGGGTATTAACAACATCCCTGCAGTTTCCTGGTCATGATCACAGATGTTCATTTGATATTCACCGATGTTATATGTAGAGAATGGGAGAATAAGGATGTAGAAGTGATGCTGCAATTATACAAAACACTGGTCAGATCCCTCTTGGAATACTGTGAACAGGGCACAGACAGGAAACGTGGGGAATTTTGAGTTATGTGACAAAACCTTTAGGTTTTGTGACCCTTATCCGCACACTCTCCTAAGTCTATTGTAACACAACAAATCAATGTCGGCCACAGCCAAAGTTAACTAATAAATCTGCTGCCACCTGATTGCCAGATCAATTTCCTAGTAGTTTTGTTTGCTCCTAGTGGAGTGCCAGTCATTCCCAGCAGAGGCCTATAGGTCAGTACATATATGTTGGAGAAACAAAACCTCCAATTCCTCAAACTGACCTTATCTTTGCAATTTCACACAAAGGCGATTTAGCCAAATAATTACAGCTAGGTATGAAATATGAATTTGAGATAAAGAGCATTTTATGTTTATTCCTATATATACCAATGAGCTTAGGAAACATTGAAACATAGAAAACAGGGGCAGGAGTAAGCCATTCTGCCCATCAAACCCGCCCTGCTCTTCTACATGATCCTTGCTGATCCTTTGTCTCAAAGCCATGCTCCCGTTCTCTCCCCTTGACACATTTAGCCTCGAGAAAACTGGTTATTTCTTTCCTCAACCTTCTCCTCATCCCTTTTCTGTCTGTACCTATTAATTGTTTTCTCTCATTGTTTTAAGTTCCCCTTGCAGGATGGCCATCTAACTTCGTTCTGGCTTCTCTAAAATACTCTTATTCTCAGACAACAAGGTGCAGGGCTGGATGAACACAGCAGGCCAAGCAGCATCAGAGGGCAGAAAGGCTGACGTTTCAGGCCTAGACCCTTCATCAGAAAAGGGGGAGGGGAAGGGGGTTCTGAAATAAATAGGGAGAGAGGGGGAGGTGGATAGAAGATGGATAGAGGAGAGGATAGGTGGAGAGGAAACAAACAGGTCGAAGAGGCGGGGATGGAGCCAGTAAAGGTGAGTGTAGGTGGGGAGTTAGGGAGGGGATAGGTCAGTCCAGGGAGGATGGACAGGTCAAGGGGGTGGGATGAGGTTAGTAGGTAGGACATGGGGGTGCGGCTTGAGGTGGGAGGAGGGGACAGGTGGGAGGAAGAACAGGTTAGGGAGGCGGGGACGAGCTGGACTGGTTTTGGGATGCGGTAGGGGGAGGGGAGATTTTGAAGCTTGTGAAGTCCACATTGATACCATTGGGCTGCAGGGTTCCCAAGCGGAATATGAGTTGCTGTTCCTGCAACCTTCGGGTGGCATCGTTGTGGCACTGCAGGAGGCCCAGGATGGACATGTCGTCTGAGGAATGGGAGGGGGAGTTGAAATGGTTCGCGACTGGGAGGTGCAGTTGGTTATTGCGAACCGAGCGTAGGTGTTCTGCAAAGCGGTCCCCGAGCCTCCGCTTGGTTTCCCCGATGGAAAGGAGGCCACACGGGGTACAGCGGATGCAGTATACCACATTGGCAGATGTGCAGGTGAACATCTGCTTGATGTGGACAGTCTTCTTGGGGCCTGGGATGGGGGCGAGGGAGTAGGTATGGGGGCAGGTGTAGCACTTCCTGCGGTTGCAGGGAAAAGTGCCGTGTGTGGTGGGGCTGGAGGGAAGTGTGGAGCGGACAAGGGAGTCACGGAGAGAGTGGTCCCTCCGGAAAGCAGATAAGGGTGGGGAGGGAAAGATGTCTTTGGTGGTGGGGTCGGATTGCAGATGGCGGAAGTGTCGGAGGATGATGCGTTGGATCCGGAGGTTGGTGGGGTGGTACGTGAGGACGAGGGGGATTCTTTTTTGGCTCTTATTGCGTGGACGGAATGTGAGGGATGAGTTGCGGGAAATGTGGGAGACACGGTTGAGGGCGTTCTCGACCACTGAGGGAGGGAAGTTACGGTCCTTGAAAAATGAGGACAACGAGATGTACGGGAGTGGAATGCCTCATCCTGGGAGCAGATGCGGCGGAGGCGAAGGAATTGGGAATAGGGGATGGCATTTTTGCAGGAAGGTGGGTGGGAGGAGGAGTATTCTAGGTAGCTGTGGGAGTTGGTGGGCTTGAAATGAATATCGGTTTCTAGGTGGTTGCCCGAGATGGAGACAGAGAAGTCCAGGAAGGGGAGAGAGGTATTAGAGATGGTCCAGGTAAACTTAAGGTTGGGGTGGAAGTGTTGGTGAAGTGGATGAGCTGTTCGAGCTCCTCGTGGGAGCACGAGGCGGCGCCGATACAGTCATCAATGTAACGGAGGAAGAGGGATTGTTCCAGGGATTTCACAAGCTTCAAAATCTCCCCTCCCCCTACCGCATCCCAAAACCAGTCCAGCTCGTCCCCGCCTCCCTAACCTGTTCTTCCTCCCACCTATCCCCTCCTCCCAACTCAAGCTGCACCCTCATCTCCTACCTACTAACCTCATCCCGCCCCCTTGATCTGTCCGTCCTCCTTGGACTGACCTATCCCCTCCCTAACTCCCCACCTACACTCACCTTTACTGGCTCCAACCCCGCCTCTTTGACCTGTCTGTCTCCTCTCCACCTATCTTCTCATTTATCCATCTTCTATCCGCCTCCCCCTCTCTCCCTATTTATTTCAGAAACCCCTTCCCCCCCCTCCCTTTTCTGATGAAGGGTCTAGGCCCGAAACATCAGCCTTCCTGCTCCTATGATGCTGCTTGGCCTGCTGTGTTCATCCAGCTCTCCACCTTGTTGTCTCAGACTCTCCAGCATCTGCAGCTCCTACTCTCTCTTCTCTTATTCTCACATCTGCCACTAGGTGGCAGTGTTCACCAGTAGACCAAGTCTCCTCTTAATTCAAGCCTTATGTAAATATTAGTCTGGTCTAGTATAAGCAAACCCTTTCCTGGAGATTATGTGGACATGGTCATCGGATTGCATTTATTGTCCAGCTCTAATTACCCCTTGAGAAGGTGGTATTGAGGCCCACATCCTGTGGAAAAGACATAGCCAGACACCAAAGGTACTTAATACAGTCTAAAATGTTCAACAGTATTAGAAAAGACTAGAGTTATGGAAAACGTAGCAGTCAATTTGCACACAGCACGCTCTTTTAAAATACACTGACGGAATACCAAAAAAAATTGATTATTGTGGCATCACTTTGTGGATCACTACGGCCAGAACGTCAGGGAATGATCACTTTCTCTGTTATGAACTGCCATGGGTTCTTTAGAATCCATCAGAGAGCAAAAGGTTCAATGACTCATTAACCAGTACAGCCGATGTGACAGTGTGGCACTCCCTCAGTACTGACCCTCTGACAGTGCGGCACTCCCTCAGTACTGACCCTCTGACAGTGCGGC